GGGGGAATCTCCATCCCTAGAGGTTTTAATGTCTCGGCTTGACAAAGCCCTGGCTGGGTTGATTTAGTTGGGTTGGTCCTGCCTTGGGCAGGGGGCTGGACTTGATGACTTCTGAGGTCTCTGCTCACCCTGGGATTCTACGAAACAAACTTTTATGAGACTGCAAGACACTTGGCCCCACCTTGATAAGCAGGCATCCGGCTACCATCATGCCGGACCACGGATGTTGTCAGACCAGCGAGTGCCGGACTAGAAAGGTACCACCTGACGATTAATGAATTCAGGGCAACAAGGAGGAAAGTCTGTTAGATTATCTCTTTGGAAAGATAAGGCCACCCACGCGCTCAGCTTACAGAGAGCGTGGACCGAGCAGCTGCGCTGCGTACGCGGAGTGGGACCCATGCGGGCGTGTACTCACCCTCCGTGGCACGATCATCGAGATGGGCTCAATCAGACCCTTTAAGGTAACCAGTTTGTAGAAGCGGAACACCTCACAGGCAGAGACGTCCAGGCCGTGCTTTGGCATCACCCCTAGCAGAGAGTTCACACGTGAGCGGGGTCCGTCCTCTCGGACCGACAACGCCGTGACATAGACGCCCGTATTCTCCACGTGGGTCAGGGGAGAAGGGGCTGGTCTTACTAGCACCATCAGGAGGGCTTGCTTAGGGCATGGTAGTGCGATGGATGTATTAGGTTAAACACTGGAATCAATTGCCTAGGGAGGTTGTGGAATCTCCATCTCTGGAGATATTTAAGAGCATGTTGGACAGACACCTGTCAGGGATGGTCTAGACGGTGCTTGGTTCTGCCATGAGGGCAGGGGACTGGACTCGATGGCCTCTTGAGGTCCCTTCCAGTACCTAGGGGAGCAAGCGGCGCGTACCCCCTATGATTTATTTGGGGTGCCGATCCCATTCGGGGCCTGGTTCCCTGCATGCGGGGCCCGAGACGGCATTCTCCTCAGAGCCGAAGGGGTTCAGAGTCCGTGTTGCTCTTCCGGTGATCTCAGCTCTGGGCCTTCACTGGGGGCGACCAAGAGACCTGGCCCAGCAGGACAGGGAGGGGAGAAGCCCCAGCAGCAGGGAAGCGAGTGACAGTGGCTTTATTAGCAATCCAGGAAGCCCCCTCGAAGGGGTCTTCTGTGACTGCCCGCCCCACCACACCACACCACACGTCACTGACTTAGGTCGCTTGTTTAAAGTGCGGCCTGCCCGTCACTGACCAGGTAAATTGCCCACGCATTTCCTTGGCACAGGGCCCTCCACCAGGTACACCAGGGTCATGCACCATCCCGCAGGAAGAAATGCACAAAAAATAGTGTGTAAATGCGACATAAAGATCCTGGAAATCCGGAATTAATTTTCCAGCAAGACATCAGCTACCTACTGACCCAGAACCTACGTGAACAGCGAGAGTCAGCACAGGGCAGAGAGCACGGGGGAATTACTATGCAAAACATGCATCAGCAAAATGGAAGGATGCTCCTATTAACGTGCCCACGAGCTCTTACCCAGTCCTTTCTGCGGGGCCGGAGAGCGAAACTCCATGAGATAGTTCAGGTAGGGCTTTTCGGTGCCGATTTCATAGTAGCGGATGTTCCCGTCTCCCTGCGGCGGGGGAGACAGGCAGATCGGTTTCACGCGGCAGCGTCAGAGCGGTCGGTAAATAACCAGAGTTGTTAAAAGAGCAGCGCACGGGGCGGGGCAGTGCTGGGTGACGCACGCAGCCATGACCATTGTAGGACAGAATGGCCAAAAGCAAAACAGCGCCCGGCACCCCGCCCCCCCCCCCACAGTGCTCCAGGCACAGGGCCCGGGGCAACCCCCCTGACTACAGGCTGGCTCCGCCCCTGCTCCACCCACCTTTCCCCGAAGCTCCGCCCATACTCCGCCCTCCCCAGGACAACGCAAGCCGGAGGATTATAGGGGAGCCAGGCACAGGGCAGCAGCAGGGGTCTGCCCCCTCCTCCCACGTTCATGGTGGCAGTGGGATCTGGAGCGGCCCAGCAGCCTGCTCCCTCCGCCCTGCCACCCTCTCCCAGGGGCCCTGCTTCCCGCAGCTGGGGTGAAGCCGAATGCAGTGGGCTGGAAGGGGGGGTGGAGCAGGCTGCCATGGACCCCCCAACTGCTGTGAGCGGGGGTGAGTGGGGGCTGACCCCAGCTACCGCCCTGCGCCAGGCCCGTCCCCCAGGTACTTCCCTGGACTGCTCTGGGACCTCTCCATAGTACGGCTGAC